GATGGAGTTGCGCCGAAAGTAACGAAGCGAAGTCGCGGTGACAAAGAGAGACGTTAATGAGCCAGACGGCGGACGGAATTGAATTCGATGCCGTGCAAAGCGCACAAATGGAACCAACTCCCCTCCCCCCCTTCCACGACCATTCACCATGGAATTCTACTAAATGTTTCCTGGCTTCTGTGTCGGACGTCGCTAGATTACGATCCATCCGAGCTCCTTCGAGGCTGTCGGAACAATCGACGCCATCGCGTCTCGAATCGGAAAACAGAATCTGTTCGTGAGTGGTCGTTATCACGAGGAGGCAGAGAATTAAAAAAATTTTTTTTCAATCTGTTACGTGTCCTGTAACATACACAATAGTTCTATAGCATAGTTGAAAATCATCGAAATCGGTGGGGAAGACCCCTATTGCAAACAATTAGCATTTATTTAGAACAGGGGATTCCCCATCGATTTCGATGATTTTTAAATATGTTATAGAACTCAAAAAATTTTAATGGGAGATTCTAGAGAACCAAAATAAGACGAAAAATCAAGAATACCAATTTGTTGATTGAGGCTTCGTTAAAAAGTTATTAACGTTTAAAGTTCCGTTCGTGATGAATTTTTTTCTCGAAAATGCACAGGATTTCGGGGGTATGTCTATTCACCAAAAATAATTGTAATTGACCCCCGCAAACGAAAATAATTTTTCCGGAACGATTTGAAATTTTTTAATTTTGTCGAAAAATTTCACACCTTCTCGAATTTTTTTCTAGAAAGTGGGTAGGATTTCGGAGGTATGTCTATTGACCAAAAATGATTGTAATTGACCCCCGTAAACGAAAATAATTTTTCCGGAACGATTTGAAATTTTTTAATTTTGTCGAAAAATTTCACACCTTCTCGAATTTTTTTCTCGAAAGTGGATAGGATTTCGGAGGTATGTCTGTTGACCAAAAATTATTGTAATTGACCCCTGGAAGCGAAAATAATTTTTCCGGAACGATTTGAAATTTTTTAATTTTGTCGAAAAGTGTCACACCTTCTCGAATTTTTTTCTCGAAAGTGAATAGGATTTCGGGGGTATGTCTGTTGACCAAAAATGATTGTAATTGACCCCTGCAAACGAAAATAATTTTTCCGGAACGATTTGAAATTTTTTAATTTTGTCGAAAAATTTCACACCTTCTCGAATTTTTTTCTCGAAAGTGGGTAGGATTTCGGGGGTATGTCTGTTGACCAAAAATGATTGTAATTGACCCCTGGAAGCGAAAATAATTTTTCCAAAGTGATTTGAAACTTTTCAATTTCGCCGAATTTGTCCAGCTTTAGAATATTTTTATTTTTATGAGAAACGCAAATATTAATATATTTTTTTCTCTCAAATTATTTTAGATAGTTCCAGAAATATGTGAAAATCGTTTGTACCATGAAAATTGATCAACGAGTGAGAATATACAATGTTCTGACTGAAAATACTCGCTGGAGTATGAATACTTTAAGCACTCATAGTAATTAACTATTGATTACGGTGGGTAAATGACGTTGCAACCAGAAACGGGTATACATCGTAATTTATTAGGAGATATTTCTAAAGAATAAACGTCATTAACCCAACGTAATCAATATCTAAATACGATGTCCCTATTATATCCGCTGAATCATTCCACATGAATGACTGGGTCATCCCTACTTCTATTCTAGCGAGAGTATTTGAGATTCATTGGAATTTCTAGTGTAAGAATGAGTTGTACGCTAACGAATCCAAATTTCATTAGAAATTACACTACAGTTTTCACAGAATCCCGAACATAAAATTTCTACGGTAAAAATTCTTGTACAGGGAGATCGAATACGAGAGTTTTTAATACAAAGATTAGTCTGGATCCTCGACTCAATATTATTAGATATCGTTGAAGTTTTTTGTACATAAACTCCAGTTTCTTTGTAACGTTTACAATGGAAATGTATCGCCATTTTGTCGGAGGTCTAATTTAGTTGTTGATTCGAATCGAGTACTACTCGACATACTTATAAAGAAATATGGATCAAGTGTAAAAAAATCTCCGACAGTAAAAGTGGATCAAACATCTCTTAGAATCCTTAATATAAAAATAGGTCAACTTGTTGGAGTCCGCGGCGCGAAAACGGGTCGTCGCGTCATGGAAACGCGCAAATCCATAATCTTCGAATCTAAAGAACTCGAAACCACGTTAAAACGAGAACGATATCACACGAAACCCCTTTAAAATTTGAATTACACTTCTCAATAAAGAATTCCACGTTATGATGTTCGTTATCATTCGACCATCACGATTCTCTCAGAATTTCGTAATCTTTACGATAGTTGCAAAATATAAAAAAAATACCATTGTTCCCGAGTACAAGGAAACATTCACTTAATCCTATCAATCTTATCTTAACTACGTGTAATTTTCTAGTGTTGACCATTTCATTCTGCTGTTATTATATTTTGCTCTTGCTGGAAACTTTTTGTACAAAACTTCGAATAAAAAAAAAAATACTGAAACTTTAGAATATTTCATATCTTCCAAGCCAATAGATTCTCTGACTTGTGAAAAGGAACAAAGACGCTACGAGGCGATAAAAAACGAAGAAACGAACCAAAGCAACACTCGCCAGCCTCATGAAACAATAACTGGTAATAAGACGCAATTGTTCTTGGCGCGGAAGTAATAGAGGCATTTCTGCGAGGCCAATGAAACTCCCGATCCATCTGTCCGCACCAAAATGATAAAAGCTACGTCATCGGTTGCCTACGAATTAAATTTTTACTGTTAGCCATGTTGTTAACCTCGCGACTGCATCGATTATACAAAGAGAAACAAAAACAATTGCAACAAATGCCATGCACGGTGTTATTAAAACTATTTTATAATTAAATATACAGGGTGTTCAAACAACCCTGGGAAAAATTTTAACGCCAGATTCTAGGTACCAAAATAAGGCGAAAATCAAGAATATTAATTTATTGATGGAGGCTTTGTTAAAAAGTTATTAACGTTTAAAGTTCCGCCAGTTTTGAATTTTTTTCTCGAAAATGCGCAGGAATTCGCGGGTATGTTTATCCACCAAAAACGATTGTAATTGACCCCCGCAACCGAAAATAATTTTTCTGGAACGATTTGAAATTTTTTAATTTTTTCGAAAAATTTCACACCTTCTCGAATTTTTTTCTAGAAAGTGGGTAGGAATTCGGGGGTATGTCTATTCACCAAAAATGTTTGTAATTGCCCCCCGCATCTAAAACAAATTTTTTCAGAACGATTTGAAATTTTTTAATTTTTTCGAAAAATTTCACATATTCTTGATTTTCGTCTTATTAAAATTTTTCCCAGGATTGGCCGAACACCCTATATGAATAAAAATATGTTGTTAAAGGAAGGAATATAAACATACCAATTTAAATTTCATTATACATAATTTTCTTCGTGATTACATTTATTCTTGAATAAAAAAAAAAAGTCTTGGTATTTTTACCGCGAACGACTGTATCGATCTGATCGCCTTGAAAAAGCACGTCAGAAATGAATATAGCTCCTTAAATGTGAATTCAACCTGGATTTCCGGTTCGGAACTGCTTTCTATCCAAGCGGTTCCAAGAGTAATTCAAGCTGTTCTACCTTAAAGTGCCGAGGGAAACGTCGATTGAGAGCTACTGCTGTCAGCCGTAAATAAACAGATCATCGACACCTCCTTTCATTGTCGATCCTCTTCCGAATCGGAAGGACGGTTACCAAGGAGGGGAAAAAGTGTTGCAGAAGAACGGATAGAAGGCTTGGGTGTGAGTATACGATGGTAGACGCCGTGTTCTGGCAGAGCCTAACAGTTAGACGATGACGAACACTCGCTATCAACTTCCTGCTAGAATTGATATAGATGCAACGGGCCCTGCTCCTACGTTAATGAAAGGGTCATTGATCTGGATAGTTCAGCATGTTATCGCGTTTTTTAATGAACCGTTTCGCGTGGGAATTCGTTAATGTGCTGCTGCTATGAAAATACAGCGATACGCGTGAAATTTCTTCAACGATATTTTCACTCGAGCCACCAATACGATACGAGCTGAATAATTTTTGAAAATTCGACGATATTACGTAACACGGGGCCCCAGAATTCACTTAACACTTTATTATTTTCATATATCGAAATTTTCTAATTTGGATATCATGGATAACAGATCTGACATTTTTCATCTGTCATTTTCATCATATATTGCAATTAGTACTATACCCGGCGATTCCTCATCCAAAAATTAGTTAAAAATGAAGAATAACTGTTTTTTTTGGGGGTTAGGTCTCGGAGATGATCGATCTTGAAAATATAATACGTGGACAATGCGTGCACCTAATCGACAAACTTTTTAATGGCTTCTTCGCGCCTGTACGTTTCCTTCTAATTATCAAACGTTCACAAATCTTTCACAATTTATTTTCGCACGAAGGATAACCTTACTTTTGTTCAACGAAGACCCGATAACAGCTTTCACTAGATAAAACCGAGTACACGGATCTTTCGGTCAACGAATTTTACCGTTTCATTCCGAATGTTAAGGTTATCCGACCGGTACGATCGTCAGAGTCAAACGAAAATGAATGAAACTTCCTTTCGGGACACGATCCCGTTTCCAAGATTCTACTTCGCTGCTCGCGCGTAATGTGGTCCCGCGCGCAGAGCGCTGGGTGCAAGTGAGAAAAAATACAGAAAAATCCCCGACAACGCGTTCGAAAGTATATATGTACCTCGCGACGACAAGGATACCGAGTAAATGTGTCCTCGACGTCGATTCCGAGCTAGAATTCGTCCATCGCGTAAACGATACTTCTCAAACGTGTTCCTTCGTTTTTTTGACAACGATCTGTTTACCAACAAGCGACCGGCCATTTTCGAGTGCGCAGGGCGTAACCAAGGCCGCGAAAAACCTGTCCCTAACCCTAACCAAGAACCGAGCGATGCCGTGCACACGGCGTACAGAGGCGAACAGCCTCGAGACTCACCCTCCGGATACGCTTGCTTGCTCTGCACGAAGTCGATGAACGCGTTGGTCACGTTGTACAGCTGGCCCATGCCCTTGGGATAGAACTTCGTGCTGGCTTTGTAGTCCACCGCGGAGGTGTCCACCACCGAATAGTTGAGAGCCTGCGAGGCCATAATTCCGTTCAGCTGCCGGTCCAGATCATCGCTGATCACGCGCATCCGATTGGTGAGTGTCTCCTGGCAGGTGACGGGGCGCGGCACAAGAACAAACAGCAGACATAGAATCGCGAAACCATAATGCACCACGGCACAGAGCCGATCACCACCAAATCCCACATGAACCATAATAGCGACCTGCGCCCGAGACGCGTCGCTACGGACTGCTGGCCGTTCGTTTTACGAGACGCGCGGAACCGGACTATCCCCACTCCGCCGCCATGCTGCTACGAGTCTCTCGGTCCTGGTCCGCTCGTTCCTATCGTCCGACCACCTACAGTGCGGGACAAAACGATAGCCCAATCAACATTTTTTTTCTTTTTAAAGATGCAGTGGCAACTGTACGTATACACTACCACTAAATGTTATTCGTCTAAATATCATGAACGCGTTGCACTAAAAGATTTTGTGTAGAAAAGTTGCACGATCAACGGAGGTACGCGTATGTTTACTTTAGTTATAGGTGGAAGCGAAACTATGGAACATCGAACTGTGAATAAAAAATAATTCACCTTTATCCTATTTATAAATGTTATAGCTAACGAGTAATTTCATTTTTTTCGCGACGTGTGGCAGATGTAACCTTATCACAGCTTTCCGCAAACAGTAATGTTTATCAACACTACGATCACGATCCAGAAATTTCTATCGTGCTCGTCATTCGGTGTTGTGGTTACCTTTGGCGTGTGTGCGTGATTGTCAAACAGATAAAAGCCGGAAATAATATTTTTTAACAACGAAAAAGTTGACATTCTTTTAGTTTATACGCTGCAATAAGAGATAGACTCTATTAACGGAATGAAATTTCTTCGTTAGCTATAAGATTGAAACGTTACATTAATGTCAACGATCATCGCTTTGATGCTTACATTAGTTATCTATAAATTGTGAGATAAATTCTTCGCTTATCTTACTTCCTGGATTAAATTTTGATCTATCGACGAATATTCTCTTGTACAAGGAAGACGTTCTTTAGCAAAGGGTTGTTTTTCCCGTACCGACGCGATTGGTCGAAGCTGGCGGAGGGACGGGCCAATCGGGGAACAGGATTTCCCGCGCTATTTTGAAACGCGTCCTTGTTCCTTCAGGGCGTACGATTGCATTCAAATTAGATCGCAGTGTCGCGGGCACGGATGCGATTGTTTTTGTTGTAATTGCAGCGTCGAAAGGAGGATAGATGGTAAATTAGTGTGAGAAATATGACGAAAGATGCGGCGGCGGTTCTTGCGTCATTTAATTGACTTGATGCAACGCTAGAGGAGATCTGGAGAGAATCCTTGCGCTAAAACTACTCTCAAGCGTCACGCTTATTCCTTAAACGTCTTCGCTTTCACTCCCCGCTTTTGAATTCGAAGTCACTGCCACGTTAATGAAAATAAAAATCCGTCGAGTTGTTAACAAAAAATTACAATACCATAGATATTGAAATAATTTGAATTCATAGTAATAATTATTCCAACGACTAAAAAAATTCGTTTAATTCTTTCGGAAAGAATCGAATGGCTACGGGGAATTTCGACGTAATTGATAAGAAAAGGTTACAAGACGATTACGCGATATTTTATTCAGAGATTCTGTTCGATAAATAGATACGTTATGTTTAATCTCGTTTTTCCGAGAAGGCTACCGGTTACGTGGCCTGTTAGAACTATCAGATATGTGTTACGAGTCGTTTTAAACTAACGTATCTATCTATTGTGTATGTATTCGTCGAAAAAATAACTCTTTCCCCTTGCATTTAAACGTTAGATCAATTAGGCCAGGTATTTACACAACTTGCAAATGATAGAAAGAAAAAGAAATCTCGCAAGGACGCGTATTCAACGATCTAATCCCTCCGCCATATTGTAAAAAAGCGGGAAACACCTTTAATTGCAGCGCCTTATAATTTCTTTTGAATCGCAACACTATCGATCTACGAAGCTAGTTTAGTCAAAAATGATTAACGATATATCTGCGACAGTTTCCAAGCAGTAGCCCCTTAATCGAGAGTTCGATCGCTCGATATATTTCTTCGCGTCATTTCATACCAGTCGGTTCAAGCTTTCACGGAGGGGTCCACTTTTAAAAACCAGTTTGATCGAACTCGAACGAGGGGGGGAGGGGTGGGGAAATGGAGAGATTTCCAGTAAAAAGTAATCGTAATTAAGAAGAAAGTCCCGCAGAATCCGCGAATCGAGCTATTCTCGAACAATCTGGCGCATCGTTTTCCAAAATAGGGGGCGTCGTAATATAATTACTTTTTATTCGAAGAGAAAAATTTGCAAAGATTCGTATAGCATCATCAAGGAGGACCTAAGAGCGTTTTATAATGCCTCGATTGATCGTCGCGACTTTTAAGCGCTGAAATTTTACTTTCCACGGGACGTTTTTGTCATCGAATTAAAAAGTGTCGCTCGAACGGACTGGTTTGGCCAACCGAGATTCCACCGTTCCTCGTCGTCGCGTTCGCCCGACACGTAACGAACCGCGGATCCAGGTCGCGACATCGAAAACTGCATTTCGATCGGCCGTTGCCTCTGTTTTCAACTGACCCAAAAACCGATGCCTAGCGACCGCTTAGAACGAGCATCCGAATTCGGCGGAAAAACATGGCCAAAAGTGGCGTAAAGTCTAATACACGATAACGCGATCCAAGTTAAAGCCTCGACTGTCACACGTTTCCTATCTACGCGAATGTCCTCGACGTTAATTTAAATTTTAGCGTGAAAGACAGATGTAAAGCAAGTGTGCCTAACACGGGAACACCTGCCTCGTATGTTTTGAATATCTCGAGTCTTTAAGGTCTCGAAAGAGTTGCGTTAAGAATATCGATATAGTCGTACAATAAAATCTTGAAAGCAGGAAACATTACTGGTAATAAAATTTTATTATTAAATAAATTAAACAAGTATACACATTATAATGTATATTAAATTAAAGTACAGGCTTGTTCTGTGATAAATCATATGTTACAACGATAAATTAACTTCATTTATACTTTATTTAATTATCTTTCTTTCGATCAATGGTATAGTAAAAATTGGATAAATATCAATAGGTATTATACTTTTCTATGAATCCACCGATTCTATTGTAACTGTTATCGAAACTCTCGACACTCTCGAGACTATCGAGACCTTAAAGAAGCGATTCGAAGCGCTTCGGTTGCCATCGCTGGGGAAGAATGCTAGCCGTGAAATTGAGGAGACTTATTCCACTCTACGCGAGACGGGAAACAGGCGTGTTATACGTGCAATTAAAATTACTGGTGTCGACGCGCGGCATATGAAACGAAACGACTCGGGGACCGCATCTGAAAATAGTCCGGAGTGGTTACAGGCATAGCGGTTTAAAATTGGCGTAAAACTAGGCTACGTTTCGCCTGACCCTTCGGGAACACGCTAGCGCACACTGGGCCAGATTTCAAATTTAACGGTTCAAATGAATTTTGTGAAAAAAAAATAAATCGAAAACGAATAAAAATTCTCTGCTCTATCGCCCATAGTTTGACAAAATTAAACGGAACAATCTGACCAATGAACTGGTTTGCCTTTCGTTTGGAAGCAATTGTTATCATAAGTATAATCCCTCAATCTTTCACGATAAAGCTTCGTCGTTTAAATTTTCGTGATTTTTTAAAGAACCGTAGTACATCCTTCTATTGTAATAATTTGTAAAATACTTACAAAGGATAAAGTATACAATTTTTCTATTATGCATTGTCTGGAATACTCGTTTCTATAAAATAACACGAAAAATATTCTAGTGCCTCGTTGTAGCGCCTTAATAATTGTATCTTACTAACTATCGATAGTTTCTTATCGCGCGGGGAACCTGCTTTCTCTTCCAATGGACAATAAATATTAACATTACGTAACTCTTTGCTTACATTGTTATAAAACTCAAACTGTGTACACCGTAGGCCACGTGCCTATTCGAGGGAATTAAAACATCGACGAGGAGACAAGATGGAGGGAGACTTAGGATGCATAACTTCCGCGTTTAATGGGCTTGGGTAATTCCTTGGCAGCCGTGGCGTCGTCCGATGGAACTTTTGGCATCTCCGGAGCCGACGTCAGACTCGAGTCCTCTTCAGCGTTCAACCAAAAGTTCCGTCTGAAAAAACACGAATGAAAAAGAAATTCGCGTTGGAATGAATTTCGGTTGCCATCAAGAATAGCGTGATGTAATTTCCAATGCAAAATCAGCGTTAAAAATGCTAAAGCAACTTCGAAAAATGATAAATTGTAAAGATAAAGCCGCTAGGAAAGTGTGTTATGTACTCGTCGATTGAGATAAGGATACCACCGTATCCAACAACGATTGTGCAACGAGACGTCGCCAAATATTTCGCGTCGAACGATTCCGCGTGCTCTTTCGCGTTAACGTAATCAAAAAACTACCTGTCTGTCGACGAAACGTTCTCGTTCTCTTCCGAGACAGTTTCGCGTACGTCGTTATCACTTTGTACGCCATCGTTCGTTTCGTTTCTCGTCAGATTCTTCGTACCGTTTTCAATTTTATCGACTTTCGTGTTCACCGCCGAATCATCGATAATAGATTTGTCAACAGATTCCTTGACACTCGCTTTGTGCCTTTGTTCGACGTCATGGTCTACCAAATGGTATCTGCGAGTCGTGGCCTGATCGTCTATCTTATCAGGGTATCTATGTAACACATTCTTTTCGTAGTAGAATTGCCCAGGCCTTCTGATAATGTGCTTGTTATCGTTCATCCAAGACACCAACGGCTTTGGAACTTCCGTGGTGACTTGGTTTTCTATACCATCGATCTTGCTTCTGTCTTGATTCATCGTTTCCGTTGTTTCCGTTACGATAGTCACGCTATGAACCTTCGACGGTTTCGCGTGATTCTGATAAGAATCGGCTGACGTATGGAGTTGATCTTGAAATGGTCTGCTCGTAGCTCCATACACGAGAGGAGTCGAATGAAACCTATCGCCAGTCTGAGTATGAGGTCTGCTAGAGCCTTGGTAGCCTGAGACGTCAAGTTCATGATCAGATCCTTTCTGATAAACTGGAGTAACTGACCATCCACCAAAATCAGGCTGAGTAGGCCTTCTACTCGATTGGGTCTGATAAGGAGGTCTGGTAGAGCCTTGGTAGCCTGAGACTTCAAGCTCATGAGCCAGGGCAGGTCCTCCATGAGGAATTTTCGAGTACAAATTGTCAGGATTATCAACAATACTGGTAGGAGGTCTGTAAGTGACCTCAGATACTTTCTGATAAACTGGAGTCACTGGCCATCCACCAAAATCAGGCTGAGTAGGCCTTGCACTCGATTGGGTCTGATAAGGAGGTCTGGTAGAGCCTTGGTAGCCTGAGACTTCAAGCTCATGAGCCAGGACAGGTCCTCCATGAGGAATTTTCGAGTACAAATTGTCAGGATTATCAACAATACTGGTAGGAGGTCTGTAAGTGATCTCAGATCCTTTCTGATAAACTGGAGTCACTGGCCATCCACCAAAATCAGGCTGAATAGGCCTTCTACTCGGTTGTGGTTGATAAGGAGGTCTGCTAGAGCCTTGGTAGCTACCACCTGATCCATATCTATCATTTTGAGAGTTCCATTGATCAGAATCCTTCGACAGATGATCGATCAACGGATTATTAGGTCCGTGTTGGTAGCCTTGCGAGTTCCAGTGGCCTGGATCGTTCAATTGATCGACCAAATGCTGTTGCTGTTGCAGCCTCTGCCAATCAGTGAGCTCCTGATTCCCCAGGGTGTTGTAAACAATTTTAGACGAATCGTGTTGAGGTCTTTGGGTCGTTCTTTCGAAACTCGTGTAGTAGGTGTATAAAGTTGGCCTAGGACTGGTTGCGGGGTGTCGTTCGAAGAGGACGTCGCCGAACTGAGGAACAGGCTGGAATCTGTGACTCAAAGGATTTGGATTGTAGGGATCGTTGAAAGCGTGAGGAACGTAAGGACGACTGGTGAACGTAGCTGCTGACGGATACGTCGTGGGCAGAGGTTTCGCAGGTGGAAAGGCTGGAACAGACTGCAGAGAATTCTGTAGAGTGGGTCTGTTGTTGAGGACGATATAAATTGGTTTTGGATCGTTGTTTTGTCGCATCGGGGAATCCATCTTTATGTCCGACCCGTAAATAGCGTCGTTCACATAAATGGGCGCGTGCACAGCGTTATTTTGCACGACAATGCTGACGTTGTCTGGACGACCCAGTGGTCTCTTCACGACGATCCTGTTTTGCTGATGGATGGCTGGCTTCGATGGACTCATTTTTAGAGATATCTTTTTCTGCTGCTCGACGATTGAGGGAGTGGTGATTTTAGGAGTAGTCGCTTGGGTAGTTTTCCTCTTCAGTAAGCTGAGGAGTCTGGATCTCTCGAACGATCCCTCCTCCCAGAACTCCAAGCTCAACTGACCGATCGTCGGATCGTTGCAAGCCACACGCTGATTCCTCAGAGTGTCCTGGGTGAGAAAGACGAAAGGTTGTATGGTCTCGATGTCGTCCATGGTCGTGCAAAGTATTTGGGCCAGGCTGACGCGTCTGAGTTGCTGCAACTGGCCGGCCGTGAAGCTGTTCCCGTGGCCAGAGTTCTCGTACCAGAACCTGTCGCCTCTGCGCAGGTTGCTGAACTGCTGGCCGATGATACAAGCGAAGGTCGGGCCCACCAAACCGCCGCTGACCGATTTCTCCGCAAGCCCCGCCGTGAACAGGTCGATGTCTTCCACGAACGAGTAGACCAGTTTGAATTTTCCAGCCGTGGACGATGGCATCACTCTGTCCAGGTCCTCGAAGCTCTTTATCGGCGACAGGCCACAAGGTTCTCGCCATTTAACGTAAGGAGGTATACCGTGATCCCTGCCTCGTTGGATGTTGATGGAGGCTAGGTCCATTCCAAAGGAGAAGCTGGGCGTCTGGAACAGGTGGTTGGTCAACTCCTCGGTTATATGCTCGTCCCTTTTCTGGGAGGGCTGATTGATCAAGCCCAACAGCAGACGGTCCACCGAGCCTACTGTTTCTAAGTTCGCGGGGTTACTGAACTCTTTGTGTATGGTAACATCTGTAAAAGAGAAATTTAGTCAATGTTCCTCGAAAATCCCTTTGCACCGAGCTTTAATAAACTCTGTATTATACACTCACTATTGAAGATTGGTTGATGATTGCTATCGAACCGGACAAAGCTATGCTGCACCAGGGAATGACCGAAGCGATAGGCTGCGCTGGAGAATTCATTCGCAACTGTTGGATTCAACGCGGGGTCGTACGATTCGTAGTAGCCCTTCTTGAGAACTTCCAGTCCAAATATTTTCATCACGTCTTGGCCTGCAATTGTTCAAACTCGTTCAGCATTTTTTCATTCGGAATAATCGATAGCCACGATAAGGAACAAGGGATTGGAGCACGAATAACAATTAGCGTTAAGTAACGTTTACCAAGAACAATCGGCAGGAATTCTCGATAAGTGATGTGCTGGACAATGGCGCCTACGATCCTCCGAGACTCCTGGAACAGTTTCTCGTCGCCCCAGTGAGGATTCAGCGCGGCAAGTTTCGTGGCTAATCTGTTGTGCAGCCTGAGGAAGACGACGTGCAACGACGTCAGGGCCGGTTGCTCGCCGAGACGGCCGTCGCCCGCTCTGAAGCAGCTAGTCGACAACGATCCCCGCCTGCAGAGATCGGAATCCTGTCTGGGCAACAGCGGCCTTTGCGACTCGATCTTCCCGTATTGCAGCAAACCTGCGAACACGAAGCACCGTTTCTCCGTTGGGAGCGTCGGTTTTGCCGGGAACGACCGCGTCTCCCTGTTGTTCGATAGTTCGTGGATGGCTCGAGCAGTTTCTAGATCGCTTTATTATTCAGCAGTTTCGTAGCCTCTGATCTCCCGTCGGGATAAATCATGTCTCACCGTTACGGAACAATCGCAGACCGTCCGTGTGAAAAGCGTGGCTGCTGTACACCGTCGAAGCGTCCAGATAGCTGGTCACCTGCGACAATTGCTCCCTGGGACCGAATTTGCAGTCCTCGCTGGGGGCGGAACCGCTTCGTAAAAATTCTAAACACTTCACGCCCAGGGGACTGAAGAAACTGTCTTGGGAGCTCACGACGATCGGTAGGCACTCAGGATGCTACGAAAATCAATTCTATGAAAGGACATGCCACCGATTACGATAGTCGAACAGTCTTTTCTCATAGATACCATAAATTCCGGCGGTTGGAAACCGGCGCCAAAGTTCAGGCAACATTGCGGAACGGTGCCATTGAACCCTCTGCTCTGCCCAGTTGCTTGTAAAAACATACAATTCTTTTGTTAAAAACAAGGAAAATAAATTCATAGGGTATAATGGTGATTCGTTATAAATAAAAAGAATTTTTTATAATTATTTTTACTAAGTGTTGTTTATTATACTGTGTTTGTACTATTTATGAAGCAGTTTGGTTTTTGATTGACAATTTTCAACATAGTCCTTTGTCCACCATTAAAGAAGCAGTTGTGTCCTATTTATGAAGTAGTTTTGTTTTTCATGAATTCTATCCATTTATTTTTACCAAGTGTTGTTTACTATACTGTGATTCTACTATTTATAAAGTAGTTTAGTTTTTGATTGACAATTTTCAACATAGTCCTACCAATTAAAGAAACCACCATTAAAGAAACAGTTGTGTCCTATTTATGAAGTAGTTTTGTTTTTCATGAATTCTATCCATTTATTTTTACCAAGTATTGTTTCCTATACTGTGTTTCTACTATGTATAAAGTAGTTTGATTTTTGATTGACAATTTTCAACATAGTCCTACCATTAAAGAAACCACCATTAAAGAAGCAGTTGTGTCCTATTTATGAATCAGTTTTTTTTTTTTTTTTCCTTTATCCACCATTGAAAGAACAGTATACCAACCGGTCATATCGTGATCCACGAACTGGCCCCACTGCATCAGCATGTGAGTGATGGATGTTAAAGGTATGTCCTTGTCCTCGTGGATCACGGCGGTCACTTGTCGCGCACTAGGAAGCGGTCTTCCGCTCACCGATCTTCTGACGCTCTGGATCCCGTCGCCGTACACCGCTGGCAGAAATCTGAAAGAAATTGCTTATAAGATAAAGTTAACAGATCGATCCTCTGATTTTACGACGGATCACCTTTGCATGGCGGACATGGCGGATCCCCACCAGAGGTTTCGAAGATTGTTGCAGCTTCCGTCGGACGTTCTGTACCTCAGACTGGCCGGTGGACAATCGGGAACCCCCCTGTTCGGGCACTGACGTTGCAGAGGGTTGTTTTTACTTCGACGCGACAGAAGCAACTCCCCCGCAGCGCCTGGGAATCTTGAAGACACGAATATTTATAGATTTTGTAAAATATATCATAAATTTCTTCTTTCGATTCGTTGGAAGCTTTCTTTGCTAAGCTACCGATACGAAGAAGAAAGAATTAGAATTTACTTACAAAAGTTTTTTATTTACTTCTTCCTATTCTAGTAAAATACGTTGTCGAACGTATAGATAAACATATAAATGTGCCAAGCGTCTTATATTTTCGTCTATAATTTTTATCGACATTGAGCCAGGTGAACTTACTTTTTCTTGAACATTGTGGCGCCCTGAAGCACAGCAAACCCATATTGCGCTAGTGTTCTTGCCTCTTCAGTCTGATCGTTGAACGCTGCTACGTACCTTGCCGGGTTATCCGAGTCGAGATAAATACCTGTCGTCAAACTTCAAACCTTTAGATCTCTACCTCCCTCACAATTTACACATTTCTTTTTCATTCCTCGACCGCACACCGCTCGGACGACTCACGCATACGAACAGGCGGATCGTAAGATCGTTTCCTGAGACGACAATTAATGCCAAGCAACTTGCCTTTATTGTTGTTCAAAATTTATTACCTCAACTTACAAAACGCATTACTTTTTAAAGTCACGCGGCCACGACATTAAAACTAACGAAGTTCCGTGGGCCATTAAGAAATAAATGATACACGCTCGACGCGATCGAATAAATAGGAACACAACTTAATATCGATACGCATACTTTATTCACTTAACAACGAAGGTTATCATTGTATCTTACAAGAGTTTACCATAAAATTAAGTTAATACTTTGTCGCCTCGCCGGTTACGAAAATATTTGTACACGTTTATAATAACTTATTTCGAATACACCACGCGTACAGATGATGGTGAGATCATCTTGTATGATCGTTGAAACATGTGATTTATAAAAACGAGTAAAGAGTATCCAAGATGTAACCCCTAGGGGGACCAGATTTACGCATCTATTTTACAAGAGAAACTACCATACTTCACTATATTTGTGTTCTATCACACTGTAACAAATTTCTATCGAGACACTTAAGGTAACAATGGAGGAATAATATTCAATGTTAAAACCCACCCATCGAGTAGAGCGTGGGTTCCGTAACCAAGTACAAATTCTTCATGGCCTCCAGCCCGAAATTGGCCGCCTCCAACAAGTCCTCCTCGCTCGGTTTAATTTTCTCCCCGTCCCGACGATTCTCGCTTTTCAACGACTTCGTCTCGTATCCGTTATTCCCCGCGGTCGTTCCCGAAGAAACTTCACTCGAATTCTCTCTCGACGGGGGACTCGAATTACTCTGTCCTCCCTCGGGCTCGTCCAGCATCGAAAATTCATTCCCAGCGCCTTTCGACGGTTTTCCAGCCCCGAGTGCCTCTCGAGTCGTATTTTCCGCGTTTCCTCCCGTTATAGAATCGTTCGAAATCAGTTTTCGTACTTGATTCAAGATGGCCGCGTATCGACTCGCGTCCTCCGGAGCCAACAGCGTTTCTACGGTCATGGAACCATCGTTTCTCGTCGAATTTCCTCTTAATCGTTCGTGCATCGAGAACGACGAACCACTCGTCGAATTCTTCGTTGCATCGAGCGTTTCGTGGCTTCTCGTTGATCCCGACACCGTGGAGAACAGGACGAAGAGGATTCTGGAAAATGATGCTCGATATTAGGGTTCGATCAGAAGAGAATAGGATAACGGAGACACGATGTATCTAATTGTCGCGAAATAGATCGAAAGCTTCAGTTCTGTATGGTTATTTTCTTGATTCACCCAGCAAACAGTCGAAATAAATAAGATTGATTATTTAACTATTATTAGAGTTTAATTTTATGGAATAGCAAGAATTTTTCTTAAATATCTCGAGAACTAAATTAAAAAGAGTAACATCTACTCTGTATAGGGAAAAGTTGCCCAGAATATTGATATTCACAACATATTTCAATATCATTCGAATCGGTGAGGAGGTCAAAAATCATCCAAGTTCGAATCAAGTTCAAAAATATAAATTTTCTGGGAATTTTCACTGCCGTGCTACCCGTAGATTGCCCCAGCGTGGAGCTCCATAGGCCACGGGGCACGATTGGGGGCAAATTAATAGCAATCGAACCAATCGTCGCGCTCTTGCGCTCTTGGCGTCCATTGATTCGAAGACATATGCTGAATAACGTGTAAAAATATAAATTTTCTGGGAATTTTCACTACGGTACTACCCGTAGATTGTCTCAGTGAGGAGCTCCATAGGCCACAGGGCACGATCAGGAGCAAACTAGGGGCAATCGATCGAATCGTCGCGCTCTTGGCGTCCATTGATTCCCGGTTACGCGACTTAAATTCTCTCCGGGGACAAGGAAGATCGACAATTGAAATTTCACGTTTTCCCGACCGTGACATTAACTTTCTCACGGGATAATGAACGACAAAGCGATGGGAATGGCGCGCGTCGTGTACCGTTCGACGCAGCACGCGCGGCCCGGTGCATTTGCATTCCGTCGCGTTAGTTGTATTTAATTGCGCCGATCGCAAGAGCAACTGTCCCGATTCTCATCACGACGGAATCAAACTGGATCATCGATCACCGATGCGTACACTCGCATTCGTAATATGTAAATACCCGTTATCGACGTTTTCCACTCAATTACTCGCTGTGAATACCGATCTTGGGCCACGCAACAGAGCTCCGGAGTATATTTACGACTTGAAAGTTAAACGAGGCATTAATTTATTTAAAAAATAATTATTTCAAATAATCGGTAGCTCATGAATGTTGCGTTTCAATAGATTTTAGGTACTTTTCGAAATACTGCTCGTTCGAGAAAATGAATATCATCGAATAGGAATAATTGCAGTAAGCGTGAAACAGTGTTACTAATATTAATTCTTCCCTTCGTTTAAAAATTATTTAAGAATAAATATGGAAGTAAAACGTAGTGGTGGCTCGAAGGACAGGATTTGAAGATGAAAGGCAGTCGATGATAATTTATTGAAACGCTGGGAACAACGAGACGAGGCAAGTAATATGACCAAGTGACACGAATCCTTTGGTTCGAATGCCAAGAGGTGTAACGGGACAGTCGAGCGCGGGATGCTGCCACGAAACGAAACAATCAAATTCTTTTTTTAACTGCAGTTTGTTTGGTCGAAGAAAGCTTTTCTGCAATTACACACACACATGAATCTTTATTTATATATACGGTTATATGATTATAAAAATGAAACAAAGTTCAGATTTCAAATTGCAAGGAGTACTTGGAAACAAGCAAACAATTGAAAGCTTTGTGTCAAAGTTGAGATGAATTATGAACAATAACAGTGATAACGTGACTGTCGGATGTCGACAATGTTTAATAACGTCTACCATAAATAAATAATAAATTACGAAGAAACCTGGAGAGCGTGCTGTGGTTTTTCTGCAAAAACTTTGAGAATCGATGTCAACAACATTCGACAGCATCAATTCGCAATGCACCAGACGCAATCCGCGGAAGCAGAGGTTACCAAAGAGTCCAGTGGCCCTTAACCCTTTTAAGCTCGCGGTTCAAGAAGAAGATTCTCAATCTTGATGAGTTCATGACACAGTTTCGATACACTTAGCTCCTGGTCACAAATAAATATGTCAACGATGTTAAAATCTAAAAAAACATTACGCTTCGTCAGAGTATTCACGTTTCTCGAAATCAAAATTTCTCCATAGCTGTGCCCATTGCCGAGTAATAAAAAAATAAAATCCATGAAACATCGAACGGAAATTAAAATTAACATCGTGTTTACGCCTCTTTTACAGCCTAAAATAGTACAATCTCAACGAAAGGGTTCTCCGAAGAAATTTGTTTGTTTCACATCGAATAATCGAGTCTTCATGGCGAAAGGTTGAATAAAAATCCGGAAACTCACAAAATGGACGGTTGCATGGCTACCGGAAGCTTCCTCCGAGCGGCGCCGCGAGTCTAGCCACCGGAAAGAACACCAAAAAGGCCCAAGGAACGCGTAACACGCGACATGCGGTCTGCTCGAGGACGGTTCACCAAGTACTAAGCCTCCTGGTGGCTGGTCGACCGGTCTTATCCAGGCACCGCTTCTTTTTTCTGCTTTTTGACGCGGATCGAACTGCTCCCGCGCGACTTTTTCTCAGATTTTTACTGTTACTCGACTGCCCCGCGGCCGTCGCCACTTTGATTTCGACGATGATGAGAGAACTCGCATAATAAGCATCCAAGAGCAAAGGATAGACGTCAAGAGAAATCCGGTTCCTCCGTTTAATTCGACGTCGTGCTCGATTCCTGTTAGAACGGTCGCTTCGATAGAAACCTAGCCGCCATTATGGTAATCTCCGACCAAGGGGATCCCGCGATCTTTCATTTTCGATCGTTTGTCTCGCGATGATTGCTTCGTTAACAGCTCGATCTCGTCATCCGTGTACAGTTACTCGATACGTCGATCGCATAGCAAACAGTTTTTTCACTTATCGACCGAGTAATTCGATACAGTTACTCCCCCATTCATATTCCTACTCTGCAATGCTGATTCACTGCAAGTGAAAAGAAACTTCTTATGAATTATTTCCCATTTATTGTTCCACAAATCTTTACTTCACTCTGTTACTTCTATTTACGAGGTAGTTTTGCTTTTTTATGAATTATTTCCCATTTATTTTGTACCAAATGTCGTTCACTAAACTGCGTTACTTATATTTACGAAGTAGTTCTGTTCTTTTATGAATTCCCTCTCATTTATTTTGTACCAAATGTTTTCTATTATACAGGGTGTTCGGTCATCCATGGGAAAAATTTGAATGGCCAATTCTAGAGGCCAAAATAAGATGAAAATGAAGAATACCAATTTGTTGATCGAGGCTTCGTTAAAAAGTTATTAATATTTTAAGTTCCGCCTGTAGAACGGCAATCTGCGAACAGCTGCGCGCGCAGCAGGCGGAACTTTGAACGTTGATAACTTTTTAACGAAGCCTCAAACAATAAATTAGTATTCTTGATTTTCGTCTTATTTTGGCCTCTAGAATCCCCCATTAAAATTTTTCCCAGGGATGGCCTATGTAATGTTTCTTGCACGCAAGCTTTACTTACAGATTAATTGTTAAAAAGTGTGTTCTCCGTCGCGAGTGAAGTCCGTCGACACGCGTGTGGTTTGGAAACGAAAGATACGCGTTTAAACATTGGCGTAGATTGCAGCTCTCGAGGTTGACTGAAATGAAAAAAATGAGAAACAATTAATTTATTGTGGCAAAAATTCCGAAATTTTGTCATTTTCTTCTTAATGAAAGATTTCGTTACAATTGATTTTGAAGTTTCAGAGAAATCGAACGTACAGTTTTCGAGGTTCGATCCAGTTGAGAGTTTCGGGAGTGTTGCATTTAGAGTTTTCAAGTTTGAAGAATTGTTACTCACGATACCAATCGATCCCAGGTTCGTACAGAATTCCTTCGGTTTCCTTGTGGTTGTCGGCTCTATTCTATCATTCCAGCGAGCTGTTCTGGCCTCCTTCGAAGCGTCAGAACCGCGGCGGTTGGCGGCGTGCACACGTTCCTCGACCTGTTCTTTCGCAAGTGTTATAGCTCGTGGGCCAATTGTCACGCTCGTATTATCCATTTTGAGTAAGGTTTGGAAACCTTCATCGAAAACACAAGCTGCACAATACCGTGTATGATTCCAAAACCTATTTTTACTTTAGTCAATTTACCAATTACGGGAACTACCCCTAGCGCGACATCAAAAAAGATTTCTAATAAGATTTGAAAGAAAAATATTTAAAATTTAACACTGGATGCACCAAATAAACATTATCACAAGTTTCCCTAGAATCGAGCAAAGATATCGATTTTATTCTGTTTCAATTAAACCATTGGGGGAGAAATAAGTATGGCCCCCCACCTGTATTTTTGAAAACGAAAAATTAATTTTTTTATTATTTTGACAGCTCCCATTAAATTGAATAACGTTTGCTCGAACCATTTTCTATTTCTATTCTGCATAGTTGAAGAGTCACGGAATTTAAGGAACCGAAATAAACGAAAAATATTCAATATGGCGTCCTTGGACATCCAAGCACTTATTAACACTGGATAACATCGAAGGATTTGGGAATCGATTCTTTAAAGTGAACTGAACGTCTCTACGAAGCAATCGCCATTAAATAAGTTAATGTATTTATCTGTAAAATGGTTAGTAGACGTGTAGAATGATAAATGTATGTACCTTTTCAGTGTCTGGCAGCTTTCTCTTGTGCTTGCAAGCTGGCGATAGCCTTGCCGGACCCGTACATCACTTTCGCGCGTACTTGTACTCTTCTCGTGGTCGTGCAGGAGCTTCCAGACGCGGAGGACCCGCTTCCGGTTCCGCCACCGGAAGTCGAGCTCAACTGCAGCGCGGTGCCTGCATAATTCGCACCCCTGCAGCTTGTACAGCCCTCCGACATTGTCCTTTTACGAATTTCCTTCCGGTTCCAAGCGTCCCTTAAACGGAACTTCATCCTTAAATCGACGCAGCGACGATTCAAACTACAGTGGTGCCCAAATAATAATTTTAACGCCAGATTCT